TGGATGAAGCGTTCTTGGAATTAAACAGCAGAGCCATTTTGCCTTAATTCAATAATGAGATCCACTCTACATCTTTCGACGATGGTCAAACTCTTAATTTAGGTGTGTGTGGGGGGTGGTGTTTTTCCTAAAGTCAACTTTCCTCCCCTCTGGAGTCTGAACCATCTCCTTGCATTCACCCACTGAGCTTAAAGCTTTTTGGGTACCAGGGCTGGGGGAGGGGCGGTGGTGGTGCCTGGTGGCCACAGGGCCGAATACTGGCGCTGTCAGCTGGTGCTGGGCGCACAGCCTGAGCTGCTCCCTCTCCCAGGGGCTCCGCGGCCAGAAGTTCCTGAGCTGAGCTCTCCTCAGTGTGAAATGTACCTGGTGTGAAAGGAAAGTACATCTCCGCCTTGGCACCCGGCCCGTGCTCTGGATGCAAGGGGCAGCCTGTCACCATCCAGAGGGGAAGAGAATTAAGAAATGACTCAAAGCTTCCTGGAGCAATGAGTGGTGCCCTTCAAAATATTGTACAGCTTTTTGAGTCTGACCTTGGGCAAAGCCTTCCCTTTTCCTGATCCTCAGGTTCGTCATGTGTAAGACAGAGATCCCAGGGGAACAGAACCCATGCAAAGTTCTTAGCACGGCGCCTCACCAGGCACTCATCTCATTAACTGATCCACAACTATTACTGCGTACGTGCCAGGCACTGTTCAAGGAGCTGGGGATATAGCAGTGAATCCTTCCGACGGAGCCCACAGGCTAATGAATAATAACAAACAGTAGTATTAAAAAATTCAGCGTAATCATTTTTTAAAATCCTGAAAAAGAAATCTGGGAAACAGCAGCAATGAACATGGTCATGGACAATACGAAGGAAAAGTAGTTATTCGAACAAAACAAAAGAAAAACTATTTCCACCCAAGCCTTGCTCACTTGATTAGAGGATGTATAGGACCCCCACAGGAACTTGGGATTTGGGTGAAGGGGTGAGTCTTTCCATCACCGCCCAGACCTCTGATGTGACGGAAAGACCAGCAGGTGCAGGTGGAGACCCAGGATGGTTCGACAGCAAACCCTAATTTTCTAGGGCTCAGAACTGGAGGGCTAAAGTGGCACCCGGATCCTGCATTGTCACATGTGTCTAGTCAATTTTCCTGCCCGCCTGCTTCTATTTATTTATTTATTTATTTTAAGATTTTATTTATTTATTTGACAGAGATCACAAGTAGGCAGAGAGGCAGGCAGAGAGAGAGAGAGGAGGAAGCAGGCTCCCTGCTGAGCAGGCTCTATCCCAGGCTCTATCCCAGGACCCTGGGATCACGACCTGAGCCGAAGGCAGAAGCTTTAACCCACTGAGCCACCCAGGCACCCCCCACCTCCTATTCTTTTTAGGCAAGGCCAGGACAGGAACCACAAAGTTCTTCTCCAGAGCGAGAGTCCGGAGAGCGGGAGACAGGCGCTCCCTGAGTTTCCAAGGAGGAAATAAGCAAGGGTAGCTCAGCCCTGCTTTTGCAGTCCTCTCCTACTGGGCCTGTGGATGCCAGTTAGAAATATTTCACCACTCGGGGCCTGGCCAGCTGCCCACCACTCTCCCTTCTTTGCTCCCACCTCCCCTTCCACCAAAGGTTTTTACCTATTCCTGTCTGTTATGATGAGCCCTGATAATTTCGTGGGTACTTAGAAGGCTTTCAAACCAATTTCTAGCTTTCTCAGATGAAGGAGGCCTGGGGGTTGAGTTAACTAATCCAAAGTCACACTGCTTCATTCATTCATTCAGTCAGCTGACAGCACTCCTTCTTACCCTTAAAGATTCAGCTTGACAGCCCAAGCATCCATCGATGGATGAATGGATAAAGACACACACACACACACACACACACACACACAGGAATATTATTCAGCCATTAAAGAAGAATGAAATTCTGCCATTTGCAACAACATGGATGGATTTAAAGAGTATAATGCTAAGTAAAATAAAAGCCAGTCAGGGAAACACAAATACTGTGGGATTTCACTCATATTGGAATTTAAGGAACAAAACAAACAAAACAAAACAAAAAAAAAAGTGGGGGAGGGAAAGAGACAAACCATAAAAACCAGACTCTTGGGGCGCCTGGCTGGTTCAGTCAGTGGAGAGTGGGACTTGATCCCAGGGTCATGAGTGTGAGCCCCCTGTTGGGTGTGGAGAGTCCTTAAAAATAAAATCTCAAGAAAAAAAAATGAGCAGCAGAACCTAATAGATATATATATATTTTTTATTTATGTATATATATATATATATATATATATTTTTTTTTTTTTTTAAGTCATTGCTGAATTAATGAATAGCGAGCAGGTACCATCAGGGCACTGGGGAGATGAAGATGGGTAGAAGACAGTCCCTGCTCTCAGAACTGTTTGGAGCAGCAGAGTCAGAAACAGGGAGAATGCAATGAGCTCGGGTCCAGATTGGGGAGCGGGGTGAGTGTGTGGCATTTTAGGATTATCAAACCCCAGCGTAATCCTTGTTGGGCTTCGGCCACCAACTACCTAGAACCCAGGATAAACCATTTAGCTGTGATTTAGGCCCGTACCCTGAGCAGCCTAACAGCAGCAAGAGTGAACGGCTTCCTCTGTGGAGTAAGTGCTCAGATGGGTACCTGGAGCCCTTACCCTTTCTGGTGAGGGAGGGCTTGTGGAATTCACAGGTCCAGTGGTGGCCAACCCCACACCTTCTAGCCTAGCCTCTGATCTTTTACCTGGCCTTCTGTTTCAGAAGAGAACCTTGTGCAGCACCAAGGAAGGTAACACCTGCCTGCCCCTTGGGATTAGAGCAGCGATGCATGTCCCAGCCCAGGAGCCTTCCTATCTAGAGGACAGGTGGATTGTCCCATTTGGCTCTGAGAAAGCTTGTGCCTCAGAGAGCAAGTGGCTGACCTGCCTTCCTGTTCTAGACTATAAAAAGGAACCCAGCAGGAGGAGGAGGAAGGAAGCCAGTTAAGAATCCCCCTCTTTGCAGAGAAAGAGTCCACAGCCCCTGCTGGCTCTCCCAGGAGGACAAGCTTACCTCTAAATCCAATTTTCTCCCTACAGTGGGGCAAGATCCAAGCAGCTCCTGATGTTTCTCAAAGCTCACAAGGAAGAAGCATTTTCTTTCCTCCTCTCCCCATTCCAGATTCATCCCTCCTCCCTCCAAGGGCCAGAAGAGTAGGCTCTGGTTCCCAGCAGCCTGAACCTTCCCTCCAGATGGGAGGCTAAATGCTGAGCCTACCAAAAGCCTCCACCTTGCTTTCAGGGTTGGCCTGTCTGGAGTCAGCCAGAGCCCTTCAGAGTTTCCCCCACCGGCCAGGCTGACCATGCCTCCGCCCACGTTTTAATCCATCAAGGAATCATCATCGAAATGACTCATTAACACTTCCTGAGAATTCAGAGCACCTTTAGTTCTGATTCCCCATTCTTCCTCCCATGGTTGCCTGGGTTGGGAATGGTCTCCAACTTTACTCAGAGAGGTTAAATAACTTGCCCAAGGTCACACAGTGGGAAAAATAGCAAAACAAAAACATAAACAAAAACAACTTGTGTCCCTTGCCCAGTAGTTTGGCAGGTGCTCAAATAATCTTTGTGGAAGGTCAAGACGTGCTGTTTCTTCGTGTCATTGGCCTGCGGGGGTGAGGGGATTGTGTTGGGGTGCCGAAAGCTGTTTCCCTTCTAAATGAAACTCTGACCTCCTTAGTTCACTTTCACTTCCAAAGAAGTTAACCAATTTAACTCTAATCTCTCCGCCTAGATCCCATGGTTAGTGTATCTTTTATCAGAGCAAGGCTCCCACCCCCAAGATCAATGAAGAATAAGTCTAATATTTTCCTTCACAAGAGGGCAAAGACCAAAACCAAAACCCAAATCCAAATACACAGCTTCTCTTTCCCCTGAAACCTACAGCCCGCAAGCAAAGCCCAAAGCGCCCCCGAGCCCTTGCGCGGCCGCAGGCGCCCCCGACACACGCCACGCCACGCCACACTGCGTTAGGGACGCGTCGGGGAGGGGGCGCGGAGCGCGGGCCGGGCGCGGCGGGGAGCCGGGGGGCGCCGGGCGCGCTGCCAGGCCGCGCCGCGGGGGCTGGCCGCCCCTCGCCACGTGGTGGTGGCAGCAGCGGGGTCCCGGGCGCCTTCCCAGCTGGAGAAACCCGGAGCAGCCGGGGAGGAGGAGGAGGCAGCGGCGGCGGCGGCGGCGGCGGCGGAGGAGGAGCGGGGCGGGCGGGAGGGAGGGGGGCTGGGGGGGGGGGGGGGGGGGGGGGGGAGACCGGGGGGGGGGGGCGGGGGGGGGGGGGGGCGGGGGGCGGGGGGGGGGGGGGCACCGGTGCCCGTCTGGGGAGGGAGCAGGCGGAGGGGGTAAGCTGCGATTACAAGCAGGAACCGGCAGCAGCTGTGAGTCCCCGGCGGGGCTGGGGCGGGGGGAGGGGAGCGGCGCCCGGGGGCCGGTCCCCGGGGTCGCAGGGTGGGCCGGGGGAGGGGGGCGGGAGGTGGGCCGGCAGTTGGCCCCGGCGGGCCGGGGAGGGGAAGGGTCCGGCGCCGGCCGCCCGCGTTCACCACTCCCTTTCCCCCTCCGCCGCCGCTCCTCAGGCCGCACCGCCTCGGGAGCCCCCTTCCCCGGCCCGGGGACGGCCGACTAGGGGCCCGGGGCTCGGCCAGCGGTGGGGGAGGGGGCTGCGCGGTCTCGGCCCCCGAGAGGGGAGGGGCGACAATTTCTGTCCGCCGAACTGAAGGGGTTTAAAGGGCGGCTCTTAAAGGGGCCGCAGTAGGGGCCCGGGGCCGAGGAGGCACCCCCCCCCTCCCCATCCGCCCTCCGCGGCTCTCTCCCGGGGCCGCTGGGCCGGCGGGGGATGCGGAGGAAGGGAGCGTCTGTCGGGGCGGCCCAGGAGACAGAGCCCCTACCGGCGGGGCTGGGCCCGAGGTGGCGGGCTGGGGGTCCGGGGGGCGTGTGGTGAGCGCTGGCGGTCGGAGTTGGGGGGGGGGGGGGGGGGGGGGGGGGGGGGGGAGGGGATGCGCCTGGAGAGGAAGGGGTTAAAGGTGGGGCCAGCCCTACAAACACGCGCACACACTCCCTACTTAGACCCGGTCACACGCCTTTCCCTGGCACTTAATGGGGCCTTGGGGCGGGAGGGTGTTGGGCCCCGGGCCTGAACCCTCTCCACTCCAGGCTCCTGCAGCCCGGCTTTGGGAGGTCGCGGACCCCACTGTCTCAACTCACACCGCACGCCGAGCCCCCTCTTCTACGCGCACACACGCTCTGGCGCGCGCGCACACACACACCTCGGACATTCCCATAGTGCCTCACGTGACACACGGCCCCGAACGTGCCCACCCTTCACACACGCTCACGCACGCGTGCACACACGCGCACACACAAACACACACAGCCTCTGGGCCACTTCCCAACTCCATCCCTGACCCCCAGCCGCAGCCCTGCTAAGGCACTCATTGACTGTGACACACCTACACTCATTCACAGACACACACACTCCCCCCCCACACATGCCAACCACAGACACACATTCATAAACAGGGCCAGGAGAAGTACACACGCACCCCCTCGCCTACTCTCTGGGAGCCCTGAGTCATTCCTGCCCCCTCCCAGGGCTCCCCATTTCCCTGTGTGCCTGCACATGGGCGGGCTAGGGAATTCTCTGGCCCTCCCTTCCCAGGGCCGGCCCTCCCTTCCCAGGGCCGCCCCTCCCGGCTGTGTGTTCCCTCTGACACTCTGGGAGGACTTCCTGTGGGTCCCAGGTCAGGGGAGAGGAGGTCCTGGAGGGTTGCCACAGCCCTGGTGTGAGTGGGGGAGGCACTTCCTTTTCCTGAACTCTGGGATCCTGCAGGAAGAAGCTGGGAAGTTGGGCGGGGGCCCCACAGAGGACGTCCTGACAGCGAGGGGCTGACTCTCCCAGCGCACTGGGCCTTAGGGAGGAGCTGGGGTGCCAGAGGCCTGGGATGAGCAGCTTGGCAGAGAGGTACTTGGGGAAGCGAGGCTGGGGATTGGAGAGGGGCTGAGGAGTGTCAAGGCAGGCCTGGCTGGGTCCTAACTTGGGAAGGCAGCCCTTTCCTGTCCACAGGTCTCCCTGGGTTCTGAAAGGAATTCTTCCCTTCTGCTGGCCTGACTTTCTTGTCCCTACTTCTTCCCTGCCCCCCACCCAAGTCTTCAGCTGGTTCCAGCCCCTTCGGCCAAAGGCAGCAGAGAAGATAAGACAGCCCTTGGGGGGAACCGGGGGTGGGGGGGTGCAGCTTCCAAGCTGCCTCTTGGCTGGCAACAGTGTTCCTCAGGCCAGGTCGAGGGGTATCAGGGACAGCCTCCAGGCTGCCCTCTCCACCGTTGCTCCTGCTCTCCCAGGAGGCCCAGTGGGGGCCGAGGCCCAGGCCCTTGCCATGGAGTCCATGTTTGAAGATGACATCAGCATCCTGACCCAGGAGGCACTGGGGCCCAGTGAGGTGTGGCTGGACGCCCCAGGAGACCCCTCGCTGGGTGGGGACATGTGCTCCGCCTCCCACTTTGCCCTCATCACAGCCTATGGGGACATCAAAGAGCGACTGGGAGGCCTGGAAAGGGAGAATGCCACCCTCCGCCGCCGTCTCAAAGTCTACGAGATCAAGGTCAGAACTTGGAAAAGATGGGGGTCTGGCTCTGTGTGTGTTGGGGTGGGGGTTGCTGAGGGGCAGGAACTGGGGATCCCAGGAATCCCAAAGAAGGATCAAGATCCACACTCTTGGGAACTTGAGGGTCTCTTGTGAGGGATGTGGGTGCTCTGGATGGAAGGATCAGGAAGGGATCCGGAGGGCCAAAGCGATGGGACCTTGGAACTAAACAAGATCTGGTTGGTGAGAGATGCCTCCGGGTGGTGTGGGTCGCAGTTGAGCAGGGGGAGGGAGGGACCAGGACTTTGAGGCAGGTTGTGGGGTGGGGGGCCTAAGAGAGGCTGAAGCCTGGGCAGGGAGTTGGGCACCAGCTCTCCTGAGCGCCTGCCTGCCCACAGTACCCACTGATCAATGACTTTGGAGAGGAGCACGGCTTCTCTCTGTATGAAATCAAGGATGGGTCCCTGCTGGAGATGGAGAAGGTCAGCCTGCAGCAGCGGCTCAACCAGTTCCAGCATGAGGTGAGCCCCTTGCTGGCCTCCCAGCCCAGGCTGGGCTTCCTGAGCTCCTTGCTCCAGCAGAATTCCAACACCTCCCGCCCCACCCCACCCCCGCCTCTGTCTCCGTGATCAGAGATCGCTGCGGTCTTCCCTAGAATGGGCTGCAGCCTCCCCCACCCCTCCACTGGGTGCTGGATGTGAGGGGGGGAGGCACAGGGAGCTGCTTGGCCCCGACATCAAGGGGGGGCCCTGACCGTGGCGTGCCCTCACTCCCTCCTGGCCCCATCTAGTTGCAGAAGAATAAGGAGCAGGAAGAACAGCTTGGGGAGATGATCCAGGCTTATGAGAAACTTTGTGTGGAGAAGAGCGACCTGGAGACAGAGCTGGGGGAAATGGTGAGGCCCAGGGAGCGGGGGGTGCTTGAGTGTGTGACCCTTGTGGCTTGATGGCGTGTGACCCCACGTGTGTGTGTCTGTAGTGTGGAACCCAGTGGATTCCTGTGTGTCTTTGAGTGGCCGTCGCCCTTTAGAGTGTAGCTGAGTGTGTCGTACCGGTTGTGAGTGATTCCTGGCACACCCCTGGCCACGCAGTGTCCCCCCTGACGCTGTGTCTCTATGCGTGTGTTTGGGTCTCGGCTGGGTCGACTCTGTGCCTGTGGACCTGTGCCTGGAAGGTGGCGTGGGCAAGGGCAGAGGGGATCAGGTCCCCATGGCTGCTGGGATGAGTCCGGCATGTGTGTGATTCTGAGCAGGGGCATGGCCATGCGTGAGTAGGGGTGCTGGCATCAGAGTCAGGAGACGTGGTCTCTGCCAGCTCCTCCCTGGGTCACATCACTTAGCCTTGGCCCTCCTCTGGAAAGGGCTCACGAGAACTGCAGTGCTGCGTTGTTGTGGGGCATTTGTGTAAAAATGCTTTGCCTTCATCACTGTAAACACTTACACGGCCCTTATTGTGTGCCAGGCACTGCTGTGATCTCTTTAGATATATTTACTGATTTTAATCCTTTGAACAAGCGTACAAGGTAAGCATGGCTGTCCCTGTGTTGGAGATGAGATGGGTGAAGCCCAGAGTGGTTGTCCTATAGGCAAAGAGAAGTCGTGATGCTTCTGAGGGGGTGGCTGTGTCTGGAACGATGGGATGGTGTGGTCTGTATAAGTGTCCCGTGTGTTTAGGGCAGGGAAGAGGCCTTAACCCTGACCTTGCATGGGGCAACAGCCAGAAACACCTGCATTGCAGTTACTGAGAGACGGGACCGCACACTCACAGCCACTGAGATTGCAGCTGGGATGTGGGACTTGGGGCCTCAGCTCATTGTGGGGAGGTGGCGTCCCAGACATGTGGGAGTCCTGGGTCTGGGGAGCCCTCAAGGGTTCCCTGGTGCTGGGCAGACCCTACCCTTTGTGTCTCCGGGCAGCGGGCCCTGGTAGAGACCCACCTGCGGCAGATCTGCGGCCTGGAACAGCAGCTGCGGCAGCAGCAAGGTCTCCGGGACGCCGCCTTCTCCAGCCCCAGCCCCCCGCCCACCCCTGCCCCACCATGTGCCGATCTGGACCTGCACTATTTGGCCCTGCGAGGGGGATCTGGTTTGAGTCACGGTGAGATCTCCGCGACCCCCGATGTCCCTACCCTGAAGTCCCCAAGCCTAACCCCCATTTCAGCATCACCGAACACCTCTCCCTTCTGGGATTGGGGGTTAACACCCCATTATAATGTCTTAAATTTCTCCCATAGTTACCCTATCCCTCTTTACCACCTGTTCCCTTACCCATTTCTCCCACGACACTCCCCGCCCTTACTGCCTGCTTGCCCCAGGCGGCTGGTGCATGCAGTTCCTATATGTGTCAGCAGAGGGCACCTCCACTCAGATTCCCCCTCCCCAGGCCTGTCCCAGGTGGTGAGGAGCAGAGGCCAAAGGACTCTTGGAGATTTGAATGTGGCCAGGGAAGTTCTTCATGAGGCCATCTTACTTTGTCCCTGGCTTCCAAGAAGATTAGAAGCAGCAGCTCAGACCATCCTTCCTCACAGCCCTCAGTAGCGGCTTCTCGGGACACTTGGCCTGTGGCCAGCCCTTTCGGATCTCTCACGCTGCGGGGCTCACCTGTTTCAGTCTCTGCCAGTCTGGGAGTCAGTCAGTGGAGGGTGCCTGGCAGCTGGACCCAGCCTGACGTTATCCTCTGTCCTGCCAGCAGGCTGGCCGGGCCCCACAGCCAGTGTGAGTGAGCTGGAGCGGCGGCGGTTGGAAGAGGCTCTGGAGGCTGCCCAGGGCGAGGCCCGGGGGGCTCAGCTTCGGGAGGAGCAGCTCCAGGCTGAGTGTGAGCGGCTGCAGGGGGAGCTGAAGCAGCTACAGGAGAGCCGGGCCCAGGTAAGGGGCAGGGACTCTGGAGGCCAGAACCCTGCCCAGAGCTCCACGGAGGCCTGGGGGCTGCTGGAAGTAGCCTTTAGAGGCCCAGGACTTCCTTCCTAGGTATAGACTGGCCCTGGGAGTGTTAAGGGGTGTGTGTGGGGTTGGGGGTCTGGGCAAGGTGACCGTTGGCATCTGACCTCAGTCTTCCTCCCTAGGATCTCGCCTCCAACCAGTCAGAGAGGGACATGGCGTGGGTGAAAAGAGTCGGGGATGATCAGTAAGTCACATCCGAAATCCTCTCCTTCTTTGCCTCTGTGCCCTAGGGGTGGCATTTCCTGGGTCCCCCCCTTCAGTTCACTTCTCTTGCTCTGTGCTGCTCGGAGGACCTCTCTTCCAGCATCAGGGTTGTGGGGTTTGGTGTGCTCGAGTGGCTCCGCATGCTTCACAGGAAGGAGGTGGCCTTCTGGGATGTTCTTTTTGCTTCTGGCACCCAAGCTCATGCCTCCTTGCGGTGTCGGGTTGAGACATCTCAGCAGCTTTGCTGCTCTGTTCTGCATCCCCTGGTGAGTTCCTGGGCCTCTTTGGGGCCCCATTTTCTGTCCCAGTAAGAGGGCCAGCTAGTTGGGTTAGCTGTCCCCTCCCTGGTGAGGAGGAAGGAGGTGGTCTCTTCCAGGATTTGTGGTGCCTTGTTTCCTGTCTCAGGAGAAAGCTGAGGCTGAGAAGAAGAGGGGCATCCTGGAGTTCTGTTCTGCTGGGGTGTCCCTTGGGACTTGCGCTGGGAAGGAAGGGCCGCAGGAAGTAGGGAGGGAGCTCTGTCAGTGGGGAGTCTAATGGTGGGGGCCTCTGGGGCAGCGTCGGGCAGCAAGGGAGAGGGCGAGTGGCAGCCTGACAGTGGCGAGCCTGACGCTTTTCACATCCGCACCCTGAACTCACCCTTTCCCGCTTTCTGAGAAACAGAGCGCAAACCTCCTTCCGCCTAAGTCTTCTCCCCTGAAACCAGTCGTGTGGCACAGACTCCCTACTTTCATGGGAGGGAAGACCGAGGCCCGGAGAGGGGCAGAGACTCCCTCTCCATCACACTGTCTACCCAGCGACGGGACCCTAGGGGTCCTCCTTCCAGTGGGCTTCCTTCTCACCTTCCTCCAGGCTTCTGGCCAGTTGGGGATACCCCTCACCTCCCTCTGCACCCTGGGGTGAGGGCCTGGGTGGAGCTGTGATAGCTGGGGGGTGAGAACCCAGTTTGTGGGACTGGTGGGTGGGATCCCTCAGCTTGGCTGCTGGTGGGGGGTGTTGGGTGCACCCTAGCTTGTGGGTCTGGGCACATGCAAACCCATGCATCCCATCCAGAACACACGCACACACTTTCTAGAAGCCTAGCTTGCCTCAGACGTTATAGCGTAGGGGCCTCTATGGCTCACTGAGTCCCAGCCTCTCTTAGCAGCCCAGCAGTGATGGCTCCCTCCAACTGGGTGCATCCGGGGAGAGGACTTTTTGGCAGGGCCAGAATCGGAACAGCCAGGCTGTCAATCCTTCCAGGGATGCCGAGTGCTTTGCTTTACTGGCTTCAGCTCTGCAGCCCCAGGTTTCCGTCCTGGGCTCAGAGGTCAGTCCTTACCGAGAGGTGTGGGAGGAAGGTGATAAGGGTGGGAGGCCGGAGAAGGACTGGCAGATTCCAAGGGGCCAAGGCTGTGAGTGAGCGAGGAAAGCAGAACTCCCAGAAGGGACTTGTGGAGGGCGAGGGTCCTGTTGCCCCCGTGGGCAGGACAGCCCCTTCCCTTCCCTTCCCTTCCCACCCAGGGCACCTGCCACCCTAGTCCCTTTGGCCAAAGGAAGCTGCGCTTCACCCAGAGGCTGGCCGGGCCACTCTTACCAGGGGTGACCTCTGGTTCCTCCCCTCTATCCTAGAAGGTTGGGACTCGGCTTCGGTGCCTCCTGATCTCTCACCCCGGAGCCAGCCGGGCTCTGTCTGGCCCAGCCTCACGCTTCTTTTCAAATGGAGCATCTCTGGACAGCCCCAGCTTGGCAAGAGTTAATTCTCAGAGGAAGTCCTCACTCCCCCGGCAGTTTTATTTTCTTATAAACTCAGCTCCTTTTGGTAATTGCTTCCCAAGGGCTCCCTCCCCTGTCCTCCCACCTGAGGCCTCAGTCACCTGCTCTCAGCTCGCTTTTCCCCCCACCGGCCCCTCCTCTTCCTTCCACTTTGTCCAGACCCTCCAGGCTAGTGGGAATTTTGCCTGTGGGGTCTCCCAGGAGAGGAATGCGGGGCTGATTTACCCCCATGGGGGACTCATGTGTTCCTGAAAGGCGCTTACCTGTCTCCGTTCGGACACCTCCAGGCCAGCCAGTTTATTGTGGGAGTCCTAACTGTTAAAATAGACCCCCCATAACTGCCTCTGCTAACCCTACGTGGCCCCCCACTCCTGCCAGTGGGTCTACCCATGCCGAGGAGACAGGCCTTCGAGGCAGCCCTGGCCCCAAGAATTCCCAGTCCTTCTCATCCCAGCCCCCAGCCCACCAGCTGTGCTCAGCAGCAGTGTTCCTCTGAAAGCCACCTTCCAGACTGGGCCTCTCTGCCACCCTCCAGGTCTGACCTCTGGGCAAGGTTGCCCTGCTGTTTGGTCAGCCCAGCACTTGGTGGCTGCTGCCCAGGGGACAGGGACAGGTTGTCCCAGAGGAAGAGCTGTTGGAGGTCAGTCAGGGGCCAGAGGCAATGATGAGGGAGGGTGGGAGTGGAGACCCACCTGCTCCTTAGGAAGCACAGGGAGGTGAGGACCCCAGAGTGTCTCAGCTGAGGGCTGGGGGTGTGTGTGTAACCCATAGACCCCTCCCCTCGCAGCCCAGCTCAGAGTCACAGCTCCCAAGTGTGGCCTTTCTGAGGGTGTGGCTAGTGCTGAGGGTGGAGGGGAAATTGTGGAGTGGGGGTTCCTTGAGGGGGCTGAGGGCTTGGGTGGGCAGGCTCAGTGAAGGGAGTGAGGGTGCAGTGAGAGAGGGGAGTCCCCCTGTGAGAAAATGGGGGCTCAGTATGGGTGATGAGGAAGAGAACCATAAGGGCTTGCTTTTTTCCCAACGTGGGGGGCTCAGTGTTGCAGCCCTGGCCCTTTTCCGCCCCCCTCCCCACACCCCTCTCTCCGCCCACAAGCCTCTGCGTGGGCTGCGGTTAGTGGTGGGGGAGAAGTGTGAACTCGGAGAGAGAGGATGGAAACTCTGCACAGAGGTCAAGGGCAGTGTGGGGTGGGTCAGGACGGAAGTCGGAGACCCCCGTGTACCCTGAACTGAGCCTCATGCCCCAGAACCAGCAGGCCCAGGGCCTCCCCCTTCACGCTTCTCACCCTCCCTACTTCCTTTCTTTCAAATCTCCTCCAGCCAGGGCAGGGGCGCTCACAGGAATTAACCCTGAGCACTTGCAGCCTTGGGACTCCCCGAGTGGGGGGAGCAGTTCTGAAGTCGGTGCCCAGCACTCCCACCTCATTGTGGCCTAAGGGACCAGGGGGGCTTTGAATCTGTCTCTGACTCTTTCCTTGCCAGGAAGGCAGAGAGCAGCTCTGTCTCCCTAGATGGGAAATTGCACATCCTCCCATCGTTCCTAAACCAAGGTCAGTGAGCTGGTTGGTGTCTCCAAGAAAGGATCAGCATGAAGTTCTTTCTTTCTTTCTCCACCCTTCTCCTGGGCACTCCCAGGCCTTCATCCAGGCCACCCACTGTGTGAGGCCGTTTACCTGCAGACTCTTGTTCTCACCAAAAATACGGCGAAGGTCTTGTCCCCTTTCTACTGCTGAGCAAAGAAGTTTAGTGACTGGAGAAGTTAAGTGACAAGTTAAGTGTGAATACCCAGCGGTATACCCAGTGGGGCGATGGTCTCTCTGGTGGTTGTCTGGTTTGGGTTCTTCCTCAGGTGGGCGGCTCTGCTGTGAGGGACGATCGGGTAATTTGTTGAGGTAACCAGGTCAGGGTTGCAAGTGAAAATCTCAATATTTGAACACTTCAGAAACCCTCAAGATTCTGCTGAGGCTGCTCGGGGGAACCAGGACAGCCCTGGGCACACTGGGATGCGTGGCTCCCCACCCACACAGGCGTACTGGTTCTAAGCCCCGGCATCAGCTTCTCAACGTGGCTGTCTCCAGGGAGGCCTTCCAGACACAGCCAACGTCTAGCTGTCCTGGGAGCCCGGCAGGGCTGCCATGAGGAGCCAGGCTCTGTGGACCGCAAGTCATAGCTGGTCGAGGAGAGTGAAGGGGCTCAAGGCGCCTGAAAGGAAGTGGTAGAGCACTGGGTTGTTGCAGTGACTTCCTCCTCCCCCCGGGCCCGCAGCCTCAAGTCCGCTCCACGGCCCGGTGCCTGTGGTTCCCTCCCCGAGGCCCGGGCGGGAAGACTGATGCTGGGTGTGCCCGTGGGTGGTGGAAAGTTTGGTCCCTCAATTCCCCCACAAGGGTGAGGGGGCTAAGGGCAGCTGGGGGCAGCTCTGGGCAGAGATGGAAGGGCCGGGAATGCTGGCTTTTGGTTTTTCCTCCTGATTCTGAGTCAGCTGGTGATTTGACCAGCTGTCTGATCCTGACCCCAATCCTACCCTAATACTGATCGCGTCCCCGGTTTTAACCCTACCCCTCCTCCTAACCCCAACTGTGTCCACAATCCTGATGGAAAATGAGCTGTCAACCCCAGCCCTAATGTGACCCTGACCCCAGCCTTAATCCCGACCTCAAGTCCATCCCTAGTTCCAGTGCCATAGCCCAGCGCTGGCCGTCCCTGTGACCCGTCCCTGTAACCCGGCCCGGCGTGGGCCCCCAGTGAGCTTCCCCCGGGAAGGCACAGCAGAGTCCATGTACCTCCCAGCTGGTTTGGGGTAGAAAGAGCCCCTTTACGGAGGAGGAGGAGGCTTCGGTCCCTGACCTTCCTCCTCTCAGTTGCTTTATCAGTCGCAGTGAAGATTATTGCTTCCAGATGGAATTTTGAGATCTCGGACTTATTCGTGGAAAGAATGAATGAAAGGATAAGTCAATGAAGGGTGGAAAGATTTGCAGCGGAGGGAGTCCTCCTTCCTGCCAGCTCTGCCGTTTGCACTCTGGCTTCTCCGAAGGTGCCAGCTCAGCGGGCTGAGGAGCCAAGAGCAGGTTTGAGTCCCTGCTCTGTGCCACCGCTGCTCTGTGACCTTGAGCCAGCTTCTTAACAGCTCTCACCTTCCACGTATGTCTATCACCTTCCTCTCCCCTCCCAGGGCAGGGTCGGTGATGCTCCAGCTACTGCGGAGCTCCCCAGCCTCCTCCTGCTCCTCTTTCCCTTCTGCCCCCCCACCCAGCCCCCTGGCTCCCCGCTTTCTTGATCCTCTTGGAAGGCGGTATATAGCTTAGTGGTCAGCAGCCTGGACCTTAGAGTCTGGGGAACCAGAGCTCCGTTTCAGCACCTGCCCTGCTCCTCGGCTTGAGGGCTCTGTAAGCCTCGGTTGTGTCATCTGTAGCATGGAGAGAGGAGTGGCCATGTGATGGGGTTGCTCTGAGGATTCAGGAACGCTCTTTAGCATCCTGCCCGGCCCCATGGTAACCCCTTCTCCATTCTTTTCAGCCTGGGTCCCTCCCAGGTTCTGAGAGATGCAGACAGAACTTTCCCCCATAATATTTTTTTAAAAGATTTTATTTACTTATTGGACATAGAGAGACACACAGAGGGAGGGAACACAGCAGAGGGAGCGGGAGAGGGAGAAGCAGGCTCCCCGTAGAGCAGGGAACCCGATGCGGGGCTTGATCCCAGGACCCTGGGATCACGACCTGAGCCGAAGGCAGACACTTAACGACTGAGCCCCCCAGGCTCCCCTTTCTCCCATAATTTAAGCCATAAAGAAGTTGCCCAGAGCAGCCATCTGCTGCCTGACCTGTGCTTCCCAGACAGTTGTGTGGTGGGAACTACCATTCAGGTGTGGGCCGGGAAGCCAGGAAACGGAACGTGTGTTCAGGTGCACGTGTGCAAGCCTTGGTTGTGTTGTGAAGTTGAGATTTTTTTCCACTGAATTGGCAGTGTGTTCTAATGTGAGTCATTCAGTTGTCAGCATCTTTGGCTGCCTGGGGCCTGTGCATCTTGAGGTGGGAAGAGAGGCTTGATATAAAGGGTGGCCCGAGAGGGCCGTGGGACATCAGGAGATCAGGCCCCAGCACCTCGCCCGGGGTCTCAGAGGTCTTTGTGAGGCCGCCTGGGGCTGCAGGACATTCATACTCACGGGCCTCCCCAAGTCCCTCCCTCCCTGCACCTGGTCAGAGCTGGGGTGTTCTGGGCTAGGGGCTTCTTCCGTTTCCTGCTGGCCCATCTGTTTTTCCGTGAGGAGGGTGCCAGGAGCAGGGCGGTGGAAACTGGGGTAGCTCCTGACAAGGAGAGGAAGGCAAGTAGGGAAGAGATAGGGGCCTGGAAACTGAGCGTGGCAGGTGAGATCTCCAAGCTGGGGTGTGAAGGCGACGACCTGTATCTGTCACCTGAGATACGGCAGTGAAGGCGGATGGGGAGCGAGACTAGCAGCTGCTCCCTGCTCTGTCAGAGGGGGACGCTCCATCCGTGCCCTGCTCAGAGCCCCCTCCTGCTCCTGCCACTGAGCGGTCAGCGTGAGCCTCCAAAACCCCCAGTCTGATGGGGGAGACATCGCTTCTGCATTCAGAGGGAAGAGGGGAGCTGTCACTGGGGAGTCCTCAATTAAATATGGGACACCCAGGCTGGACCTTCCGGTCTGTTGGGAGAGATGCCATTTCTTCCCAGAGACCCCTGAGATGAAGGTCGGGGAACACAGGACACATCATGTAAGGGCTGAGACGGGGTAGAATTGAGGTTTCAGCACCTCAGCCAGGGCTCCCCGAAGGACTCCCTCCTCTCTGCTCCCCTCTATCCCTGTGCACCCTCAAATGGGTAGTGGGCACTCTCTCTCCCTAGGAAGTGGGCTTGTCCCCCAGAATCCAGCCTCTTGGCAATAATTTGGCTTTGGCCCAGATGGGTTAAAAATAATTTCGTCATGGGAGGGGCATTTGGCTCCCCCATCACCCAGCTAGCCCCAGGATTAGCAAGAGAGAACCAGCCGGTGAGCAGTGAGCGTGGAGTGAAGCTCAGTCATTATCTGCCCTCTTTGCACCTCAGCTTTTCCTGCCCTCTGAAGCCCTAACCTCAAGACTTCCCCTTCTCTCCTCTAGGGTCAGTCACACACACATATGTGCACACACACACACACACACACACACACACACATTCACTCTCACACCGTTCCTCACAGTCAAGTGGCATCACTCCTGACTTTACTCCCTCCCCTCCACATGGATCCTCTCTCCCATGACCATGACCTTGGGATGGGCACAGGGCCTCAGGGCCTGAAAACACCCCTCCCCAATCTTATTCATGCCCAGTACCCTACAGATCCTAGAGCAAGAGGGCTTCCCCTGGGAGCAGGACCTGAAGTGGCTGAGCTGCTCTCTGTCACCTCCCTTCAGCTCCAACTTCCCAGAAGCTCCGGAGTCCCTTCTGGACTTGGGAAGGGGGTGGGGAGATCTGAGGAAACCAAACCCCTGCCTCCCAGGCTCCTGCCTCCCAGGCTGTGTCCAAGCCCGGAACAGAGATGAAAGCAGTGACCCAAGGCAACCGCAGAGCCGCCTGTGAGGTCAGGAAGGGCTCCCTGGGGGTGTGCAGCCCAGGCTGGGAGAGGGGAGGGGCAGTGTGAGAGAGAGAACCTTCCGTGGGGCTGGGTCAAAGTGACCCAAAGAGAAAGGAAGAGAAAAGGAAGTGGGTGAAGTCTTTGCTAAGTTCAGAGCCCTTCCAGCTCCATGCAGGTGGGTGCCCAGGAGGAAGTGGGAGGAAGAAAGGGAAGAAGAAAGGCAAATGGATGGGGAGGCTCAATTCATTCTTCACTTCCGGAACATCTCCTGGGGGCCAGGCCTGGACAGGGTGCTGGGAATAGAAATACAGCAACACGATGCTCCCTTTTGAAGAGCTCCCCATGCAGTTCCAGAGCAAGGCAACTTCTGCTGAGTGTGTCTCGTGGGTGGCGCCCTCTGGGGGTGTGTGGTGCATGACAGCTGTTTCCAGAGCTCCCCCTGGAAGGGGCTCCCTGGAGATCCCAGGAGGTGCGGGACTGGAAGCTCAGGGGCAGCGCTGAGGTGGAAGGAGGGCAGTGGACTTGGCACTTGGCCGACCCGGGTTCCAGTTTATCAGTTGGCTCCTCTGGCAAGCCAGGAGGCCGCGTCCTCACCTACGGAACTGTACAGCACTGGTCCCCAGTCCTACAAAGGGGGAGGCCTCCCCGTGGACCCCTGCCCCCAAAACACAGGTTGTACTTATGCTTTTATTAATCACTCTTAGAGAAAACTCATAGTAACCAGAGCTACTTTCAACTCAGGGCCGTTTTTTTGATGAATCTGTTTTATTTGTCACTGCAGCTTCTGCTCAGCTTAGAAAAACATTCGCACACACCTGTATCAGATGTGCTCAGGCCGTAGACAGTGCTTGGTGAACACATGGATTTAGGGACCCCTTGGCATCACTGAGCTCCCCAGCCCAAGTCCCTAGTCGGGGAGCCACTGCCCTAGCCCCAGGTAAGGCTCACTGGGAAGAGAGGGAGGCTCCCTGGAAGAGGTGGTATTTGAGGTAGACCTTAAAGCCCAAGAGCATTTATGCAGTTGGGGTACGACGGCCCTGGACGGAAGGGAGAGCCAGCAGCTGGGCACTGGCAGTTCTCCGTCCACAGCTGTGACAGTAAACCCGCTAACCTCCTCCTCACTCCCTGCCCTCTGACCTCAGGGTCGGGGGCAGGCTGGAGTCAAGCCTTGTCTTGGGGCGGGGGGTGGCTGGGCTGTCCTTTAGGGTGAACTTGGCTTTGGCTTACACGGAGCTGACAGAGGAGTTGGGCCGGCTCCGGGAATTGAGTGCCCTGCAGGGGAGGATCCTGAGGACGCTGCTGCAGGAGCAGGCCCGAAGCGGTGGTGAGATGGGTCCTGGAAGGGGAGGCTGGGAGCGGGGTCCGCAGGGAGGCAAGAGGGCAGCTGTGGCTCCCGTCTCGCATCCTGGGGCCACGGTTGCCTTTCTTTTCCCCTCTGGGTCTTGCCTCCCCGCGTTCTGAGGAGAGCTGGGGGGCCGCCGTGGCTCCCCCCGGTTCTGACGCCTTCTCTCACCCACCCCTGTCCTTCCTTGCACTCGTCCTGCTTCTCTTCCAGGCCAAAGACACTCGCCGCTGTCGCAGCGCCACTCCCCGGCCCCCCAGTGCCCCTCACCGTCCCCGCCCGCCCGGGCGGCGCCCCCTGGACCCCCGTGCCAGTCCCCCGCCCCCCAGCGCCGCTCTCCCGGGCCCCCGTGCCCCTCGCCCCAGCAGCGCCGCTCGCCGGCCTCGCCCTCCTGCCCGTCGCCCGTCCCGCAGCGCCGCTCGCCGGTGCCGCCGCCGCCGCCGTGCCAGTCCCCCAGCCCGCAGCGCCGCTCCCCCGGGCCCCCCGCCTGCCCGGCCCCGCAGCCCCGGCCCCCGCCGCCCCCTCCGCCCGGGGAGAGGACGCCGGCCGAGCGCGCCTACGCCAAGCCGCCCAGCCACCACGTGAAGGCCGGCTTTCAGGGCCGCCGCAGTTACTCCGAGATGGCCGAGGGCGCGGGCTACGCGGGCGCCTCCCCGCCCTGGCTGCAGGCCGAGGCGGCCACGCTGCCCAAGCCGCGGGCCTACGGCGGCGAGCTCTACGGGCCCGGCCGGCCGCTCAGCCCTCGGCGCGCCTTCGACGGCCTCCGGCTGCGCTTCGAGAAGCAACCGTCGGAGGAGGAGGAGTGGGCCGTGCCCACCAGCCCGCCCAGCCCCGAGGCGGGCGCCATCCGCTGCGCCTCGTTCTGCGCGGGCTTCCCCATCCCGGAGTCGCCCGCCGCCTATGCCCACGCGGAGCATGCACAGTCCTGGCCGTCCATCAACGTGAGTGGGGCGCCCGCGGGCTGGGTGGGGGGGTGGTAGGCTCCCACCCCGGGCACCGGCCCCGCCTCCCCGGGCTGCCCCCGCCCTTCGCTTCTCTCTCCCTGCCTTTGGCGTGAAAGGACCCTGCCGACCCCTGATGACTGGCTGGGGCGCGTCCATTGCCGACGTTAAGGGCCTGGCTGGAGAGTGACAGCCTGGGACTGATTCCAGACCTCAGTGCTCAGCAGCGGGGAGACCTCGGACAAGCTACTTATCCTCTCTGATCCTCAGTTTTCTTATCTAATTCCGTTAGAGGGTTCCCAAGAGGGAGGCAGGGAGCCTAAAGCCCTCTGTTGCGACACTAGTGATGGGTGCCGTGATGAACGCCACAGGTCTCGGGCCCACTCGAGGGTCGGGCCTGCGCATCCAGTGCCCTCCCTCTGGCCTCAGAGCCCCTGCTCTTTACCGGCTGTCCTAGAAGGCAGCCTGTCTTGGGGCTCTAGTGTTTCACTGAAATAATGAGTTTCCTGAATGTCAGAGCCAACCCTTGCCACCTGGAAGGACCAAAATATATTCCAAAGCCAGATAGAGAATTATTTTGGGGTTGTACATTGTTTGGGATTATCCATTGCTTTGAGTTATGTGGGAACCGTGTCTTAGTCACTCTGGGGGCATGTCTGGGTCTCGGCTTCTGCATTATGTCTCATTACTGCATATACCCTGGGCAGGCTGAGCATACAGGCCTCCTGGGGTCCTATGCCCTGGGTTGGGGCAGTGGATGCTAAACTGGTGGAAGGTGGGCAGGGAGGGCAGGGGAGGAGGGATGGTGCTTACAAGGGGTAACCAGGCCTTCTCTGCGTGTTACAGTCCTCTCTGCCCTGGGTCTCAGGAAGGGGCAGGCTGGGCTGTGGGGACCATGAGGGAGGGTTGGAGACCTTACCTGACTCCCCTCTCTCTCCACAGCTTCTCATGGAGACAGTGGGCTCTGATATCCGCAGCTGCCCCCTCTGCCAGCTCGGTTTCCCTGTTGGGTACCCGGATGATGCCCTCATCAAACACATTGACTCCCACCTGGAGAACAGCAAGATCTAGGGTGCCTCCCCCACCCACTGGCTGTTTCTCCATCTTCTCTCATCACCCCCAAACACTCACTCACTTTGAATGCTGCATGAATCTCGTGGGGGGCCCCTGCCCCTTGCGACCCCCAGATACCTCCACTAGCTACCGAGTCAACGTGTGTGCCGTCTTCCCTGGTCTAGGCACCACTCAGCCCTGGCTCTTTCCAGAAGGCCAGCCGAGGCTCTCCCCAGCTCCCTGGTTTCTGCCAGGGGGGATGGGGGTGAGGATCTGGGCTGGGATGGGGAGGGGCATCCCCCGCCCAGCCTCTCCCTCTGCCTTTCTGTTCTCAAGACAGGGTTGGATCCAAGAAAGTGTCTAGTGCTTGGGCCTGGGGGAGGGGGAAGGTATCAGAGGACTCTGGGAGCTCCCCTAGCTTCTCCCCAGATGTCCATCTTTCTCAGGCTGTGCTCTGTCCAGGGAGCACCTCTCGGTGGGGTCCCAGAGCCTGCCTTGCACAAGGATACTGGTTCCTCCATCCCATGGCCAGCTCTGGGCTCTTGGCACGGTCCGCCCTCCTTAGGGGAAGGAGGCATCTCATTTCTTGCCATTCCCTGCAGCCAGTCTTGTTCTCCTCTGCCCCCCTGGGGGCGAGAGTGGAGAGGGAGGACCCTGCAGGACTGGGAGGATTCAGCCTAAAGAGGCTGCCCTGAGGGCGGGGGGGGGTGGGGTGGTGAGGGGGACACCCTGCACCATGACCCCCAGGCCAGGGGAGTGTCTGTGCTAGCCTCCCAGGCCCCTGCAACCCCCCAGAGACCCTCGCACCAAGACACAGATGGTTAAGACAGATGCTCGCCTCCACCCTTACACTACTCGAGTCCCTGACCACACAGGTGCCCTGGAACCTGTGTGTAACTCGGCCTCTGTTAGCTGGGTGGGTGTCGTCAGCCCTGCCTCCCAGGCCAGAACCTGCGGCTGGGCCCAGGGTGCTGTTAGAGATCAACTTCAAAAGAGCTAACCCCCTTCCCATACCCCAGCGACCCACATTCCCTCTGTGAAATCTACCTCAGAGTCGTACCCTCAGAAGGATGGGTAAGCAGGAGGCCAGGGGGTCCCTAGGGCTGAGGTGGGGAGCTTCCTAAGGCAAGAGCCTGCTGCCCCACGATGAATCCAACTCTCCCCCACCGCTCCCCGCTGCGAGCCTCTCCCAGGTCTTAGCCCAGGGCTGGTGGCAGTGGGCGCTACCCGTCAGTGCATGTCCCATTCTGATCCAACACTTCCAGCCCCCCACCCCACCTCCTCACACCCCTCTCCTCCCCCTCAGTGCAGGGGAGTGAAGAGGTGTGTCAGGCAGGAAGGGACCAAGGACTCCAGAGACACATGGCACTGTACCTTGAGGGTTCCCCTGGGGAGGGGAAGTGGAGAAGGGGGCCTGAAGAGGGAGGTGGGGGCTCCTGAGCTCTCTGAACAAGTTGAAAGTCCAAATAAAACTTACCTGTTCCATCTGCTCTTGGTCTGTGCTGTCCCTGGCTGGGGCGGGGAGAAAACCCTGGGTAGTGGGAGGTTTTGCAGACCCTCTCGAGGAACCACAACCATGCAGGGTTGCACTGGACAACAGGATGCGTGGGGCATCGGTGTTTTAGGGTGATTCTGGAGACGTGGGTATGGAGGTGGGCACAGATGACTTGTAACATGGAGTTTATTTAAACTGCATCTTTCTAAAAGATTTTATTTATTTGTTTCAGACAGAGAGCACAAGCAGGGGGAAGAGCAGAGGGAGAGGGAGAACCAGGCTCCTGGCTGAGCAGGGAGCTGGAGGGAGGGCTGGATCCCAGGACTTTGGGATCATGACCTGAGCCAAAGGCGGACGCTACATCCCCTGAGCCACCCAGACACCCCAGTAGAGGATGTCTTTGTGACAAAGCAGCCAGCCCAGCCCTGAGCAGGTGTCGGGAACTCTTGAATTTTCCCTCCCAGCAGGTAGAGGTTCCAATGCCTTGGGGGTTCGGGACCAGCTATGTCTTCACCTAGTGATTTCTGCATCCCAGGAACCAGGCTTGGCCTCAAAAAGGAAGAACCCGTGTTCCACATCCTTATGGTTCTGAGAGTGGGGGAGGGGCTGGGCTCCAGCCTCAGCAGCTGCCTTGAAAGCCCCACAACCGGGGCTGTCAAAGCCAGGTCATAAACCTGTGACTTTGGCCCCAGTCAGAGCTGTGCCCTCTGTCTGCAGAAAAGGCCTGAGCTCTATTCACCAACTCTTGGTGCCTTTCATTTCCTCATGACCCCTGCAGGCCAAGAATTCACTTAAAAGGCTGGGGCAATTGCTCATAGAAGGCTGAGGTTCAGCTCCAGATCCAGGGCAAACATTCCTCCCCATACAGTGCCAAGGTTCAAACCCCAGTGGGGGAGATGTCCCAGCTTTCTCTGCTCCTCTGTTGCAGTTAACAACTACAGTTGGCTTCTAAAAGTTCTTCCAAACTTGACTCCATCTGCAGCCAAATCCTGAGTGCAAAGAAAGGTGAGAATAGCCATTCCTATGGGACATGGCTTCATAAACCGTGGGAAAGAAGGTTCTGGAAACTTCTGGAACATTGGCACTCAGTGTACCCTGCTATTCTTCCACCTCAGACAACTCCCATGGAAGAAGGCAGCACCCAGGTTTCTGGGTCGTCCTTCTTGCATCTCTGGAAACATTTGCTAGCATTTGAGTGAATTAGGGGTGGTACAAGGACATGAGGCAAAGAAAAATCCCAGTCGTTGAGAGAAAAAAGGCAAAGGATGACCTGGGAATGAACTATAGGCTGGGGCATGACCTGGGGAACCACTTCTGGTCCTTGGCATGTCTGAAGGTAAGAGGGAACCCAGGTATCCCATAGCCTGGACATCTTTGTGGTCACCGGTGTGAGGAGGGCATGGGGACATAGGGTGCATATTCTTTTTTTTTTTTTTTTTAATTTATTTGACAGATGGAGATCACAAGTAGGCAAAGAAGCAGGCAGAGAGAGGAGGAAGCAGGCTCCATGCTGAGCAGAGAGCCCGATGTGAGGCTCGATCCCAGGACCCTGGGATCATGACCTGAGCTGAAGGCAGAGGCTTTAACCCACTGAGCCACCCAGGTGCCCCTAGGGTGCATATTCTGTCAGTTTGTCTCTGATTTCTAGGGATCTGGGGAGGGGCTCAGGTGCAAGACAGAAAGTTGCTGAGGGCTGGGAGGGAAGGGAGAAAGAGGGGAAAGCCAGTGTGTCCCCAGCCCATGTCCTCCAGAACTGCAGGCTTTCATTTAATGCCCCCCAAAAGGAGAGGACATGAAAGGTGGGGGAGCTGGGAGAGGGCTGGGGAGCCTGCCAACACTCCTCTCTCTCTTCTCAAGTAGAATGGTGATCAGACAGGGCCTTGGCTACTCTCGGTACCTGTTAGTCTGTGGGAGTAACGTAGGGGTCTCTCTAGGGCCTGAGAGAGTGTGGGAACAAAAGGATCCAGATCATAAGGCTTCTGGAAGGATGAGAAGGCTGCAACAACTTTCCCATGGGCAGAATGGAGAGGAGACCGCTGTTGAGGCTGGAGAAGACACCCAAGGGACCCACTGGCTCCTGCCAGCGCAGACCCAAAGCCAGATGTAGTAGGGATCGGGGAGATGCACAGGGACCAAAGCCGGCACAGGTCTATCTCCAAGGGCTCCGTGAAGGGCCGGCGGCCCAGTAACGTTCTCTCTGGCTGTGGCCCCTCTGCCTTCGGTCTCTCCTTCACTACGAGCTGCCTCATCTCTGGGGAACCCTACACCGCTGCCCTTCTCTGGGAGACCCCTGCCCCTCTTCTGGGTCCCTATGCAGGCTGTCAGCTCCTTCTAGAAGTTGGCGTGTGTGTATGCTCACGTGCGTGAGCACACACGCGCTGTGTGTGTGTGTGTGTGTGTGTGTGTCAGGGGAGAAGCTGATCGCTAACAAAGAGGAGGGGTGTGTGGGTGAGTCAGCCGTGTTAATGAGAAACAACTCACCCCGCTGATTAGGACTAATGAACAAGAACAGAGGGGGGTGACAACTTTATACAGGGTGGGGGGAGCAGGGCCGCTCCCCCGGTCCCACTTCTCCCTCAGCAAGAACAAGAACAGAGCCACTTTGGCTTCCCCAGGAAGAATTGAGGTCAGACGCACAGATGAACCATCAAGGACAAGGTGGATTCTAACTGGGAAGGAGGGGGACAAGGTGTCTGGGGCAGAGGCCAGCTCCTGGGGAAGAGTGTAAGAGATCCTCCCAGCGCCCTGCTCTCTTTCTGCCCTTCCTCCAGTCTCTCTGTATTGATTCCAGAGAAACTAGGGACTCTCAGGGCTGTGCCCCAGGGTTGCCCAAGTGCCTTTGAGGTCTAACCAAAACTGCAGCGCCAGGGAGTGCTGGGGACGGTGCTCCAGTCTCTGCTGCTCCCATGGCCGCCTGGAGAGAAGGCTTTGGTCTGGGCATTAGCTGTCTCTGCGGATGGTAATGACCCAGGGATGCCTGGCCAGGTCAAGGGCTGGAGGGGGTCAAGGTGGGGGGAGGACCTGGGCATCAGATGGCTGCCCTGTCCTTGGGGCAGGGGCTGGTGCCCCAGAGAACCCACCGCTTCACTCACCCTCCATACCAACTGAGCCAAGGTCAAGGGCACCAGGCATGCCTCACAGATGTTCCAGTTGGCTGTGTGAGCGTGGGCATGGGGGGAGGGAGGGAGAGGCTAGGAGTGGGGACAGGATGGGTGTTGGCCAACACCTCCTAATTTGCATTACCACTGACACCCTTCTTGACCAAGAAAATGGAGCCAGAAATAACAAGGGGGGGTGAGGTGGTTCCCTGGGGGGCTCTTGGAGGTTCTCTTTCCTTGCCTCCAACCCCCCCCCCCCGCCAAACACGGCAGGGAGGGAGGCAGGAGGTCAGGCCTTTTCCAGACCCACAGCTGGCCCCAGGCTCCTCCTTCCTCAGACTGGGCGGACACCCCATCCTGACCTCCCACTTCCTTTGGCCCAGACACCCCAGAAGCCCAGCCCTGCCTTAGTCCTTCTCCGAAGCAGCGTCCCCTCAGCCTTCCCTCCCCTGGAAACTCTCTCCCTGGGGACCCTCTTGCGGCTCTCATGCCCCAGCTCTGCCTACCTTGTTCTCTTTAGTCTGGGTCGTGCTGCTCTGTCAGATTGGGCATTTCCCAGGGCAGGGCCCACCTGGGAGCTGCGCAAGGGAACATTCGGCATGAGAAATAGTCCAGACGCTAGTAGGGGAGCTTGTGAGGAGATTCTGGAAGTGGTGTGAGATGCACCAGGATCCAGTGTGGG